TGCACTTCCCTGAATGGGCGTCTGGGCTCCTTGGAAGGGGGATCAGCCATCTATTTGGGGGGGTCGCTGGGAGCAGAGGGGACGTGCCTCCTTGCCCCTGTGGATGCTCCAGGTTCCCGAAGGGCTATGTCGCAGTTCGGGAGCCAAAGGATCCCCCGGCCCAGGATGACCTCGCTGACCTCATGGGTAGAGTCTTGCTCACCCCAGGTTTATGCAACAGCGTCTTTCCCAACCGTCCTCAAAGCCACCCTGTGACATAAGCAAACGTGAGCCTCCCCCCGCCCCAGCGGCTGGCGGGTGAGAGTTTATCAAGCGCCTGCTGAGGGCCAGGTGCTTCCGAGCACGATCTCGCTGAGCCGCGCTGACCGCCCTGCAAGGCAGCGTGTGCCACTGAGGTTTTCAAGAATGGAGATACAATGCACATGCACGTACCACCACATGTGTCATTTTCACAGTGCATGGGCAGTGGTTTTCCATGTAGGCACAAGACTGGGCAGCCATCGACACCACCTAATTCAAAACCCCAGGAGAAACCCTGTACCCGTTAGCTGTCAGCCTCACCCCCAGGCCACCGGCCCCCTCCCCTGGAAACCACGACCTGCCTCCTGTCTCTGCGGATGGGCTGCTCTGGACATTCCCTACGAAGAGACTCATAGGACACGTGGCCTTTTGTGAACGACCTCTTTCACTTAGCACGATGTTTGCAAGGTTCGTCTGCTTTGTGGTGGGTACATACCTCACTTCGGTTTGTGGCTGAATGATAGTGTATTGTAGGGAGAGACTAGTGTAATTTTTTAAGAAGGGAGGGAGACAGAGAGAGAGAGAAACATGGATGCACCAGAGAAACATCGGTCAGTTTCCTCTCGCACGCCCCCAACCCAGGACCCAGCCCGAAACCCAGGCACATGCCCTGACGGGGAATCCAATCAGTGACCCCTCGCTTTGCAGGAGGACGCCCAACCCACTGAGTCATACCAGTCGGGGCTGGACCACAATTTTTTAATCCATTTTCTGTTGCTGGACATGTGGGTTGCTCCCACTTTAGGGCCATTGCAAATAAATGCTGCTACGAACATTTGCGTGCAAGTTTTTGTGTAAACATGCGTTTTCCATTCTCTTGGTATGCAGCTGGGTATGGAACAGCTGGGTGTCTGACATCTCTGTGTTTAACCCTTTGAGGAACAGCCAGACTCGCCTCCAGAGTGATGCGCACTGCACACTCACACCTGCAGTGTGCCAGGGCTCAGATTTCTGCACATCCTCTCCCGCGCCTGCCACTGTCTGTCTGTGATTACAGCCGCCCTGGTGGGTGTGAAGTGGCACCTTGGTGTGGTTTTGATCTGCATTTCCTTTTTGGCTAAGGATGATGTTGAACATCTTTTCATGCACTTATTGACCATTTGTCTCGTATGGAGAAATGTCTATTCAAACCCTTTGCCCATTTTTGTTTTTGGGTTTGTTTTTTTTAAGTATAATTTTCATTTTATGTTTTCCCAGAAGACTTTTCTTCAGTCCTTAAGGACGTAGCTCTTTATGTGGGCTTTGGCGGAGCTTGTGGGGCAGCGCCATGGGTCTGTGCTGGGGTGGGGGTGTTCGGTCCTCCCGGGCCTCGTGGGGACGATTGCTGACCCCCTCGCTGTGGACGGTGCAGCTCACATGGGGGCGTGGTTTCGGTCCAGCCTGGGGAGCACACAGGCCTCAAAGACACTCACTTCGGAAACGCACCCAACAGCTGCGGCCTCTACTGTGTTTCAAGTGACGTTGCCACGGCCTTGCCCTTGGGCACGTGTCCGTGGTAGCTGGCTCAGTGAATGGGCTGCCCGTGGCTGCGGCATTTTTTGGCAAGAGAGTCGTTCCTTCTTTTCTTGGTCATCTTGGAAGCAAGGGCCCGAGAGAGGCGCCTTTGTCCATTTTTGAATTGCGTTGTTTGCCTCTCGATTGTCAGTCGTGTCACTGTCGTCTGCAGAGGGGAAACAGGCGGAGAGGAGGTGCGCCTGGGTCAAGAACACCAGGCCTGCATGCAGGTGGATTGGCCTCCGCCTCCCACCCAGCAGGCCGGGGGCCACTGCCTCCCCCCTGCACCCCCTTTTATGAGGGGAGTGGCCTGCAATTCCTCCCCGCCCCCCAGGCCACCCCGGGTTCTGCCCTTGCAGAGGGTGCGCCAGGGAGCAGAGTTCTGAGGAACCTGGCCGGCCCGCTCTTCCCCTCCAGATCACGCGGAACTGGCTGACACGGCCCTGGAAGCGGGGAGAGCTCGGGTCCTGTGGTCAGGGAGCCTATTTATACTAACTGGGCCGTGTCGCAAGCTTTTCCTGCTGGCGACAGGGACGTCACTGGGTGCTGACCTCACCAGAAGTGCTGACGCATCTTTCCTTCATGCTTCACTCGGATGGGCAGCCGGGCCTCCCCACCTCGGGGCCACTCTGTGTCCTCCTGCTCGTCGCTGCCCCCTCCCACCCAGCTCTGGAATCTCCCCCAGTGTCCTTTCTTCCTGTAGCCCTGCACCACGCCCTCTTCTTGTAAGCCGTGGCGGGCTGAATGGTGTCCCCCTAACCCATACACTGGTTGAAGTCCAAACCTCTGGTACCTCAGAATGTGAATGTGTGTGGAGGTGGCGCCTGATTAAGGTAACATGAGGTCACGGGGGGACCCTCACGTCATAAGACTGAGGACCTTGTAAGAAGAGGAGATTAGGACACAGACACACACACAGACCCAGGAAGGATCGTGTGAGGAGACGACGGGAGGGCGGCCGTGTGCGAATCAAGGAGAGAGGCCGCAGGACAGAGTCGACCTTGCTGACACCTTGACCTCAGACTCCCAGCTCCAAGGCTGTGAGGACATACCTTTCTAGGACATGAGCCTCCCAGCCTGCGGGGTTGGCTACGGGGTTGGCCTGAGCAGAACAAGGCAGGAGCCCTTCCTGCCGCTGGCAGCCCAGGCCCCTGGGGCTCGCGCAGGCGCTGCTCCGAGCCCGGTCTTTTGGATTCCACGGCCCTGGCTGGTTGGACGCCCTGCTTCTCTTCAATGTGACCACGCATAGTGACCTCAGGCAGTGACCTCACGTCGCTGCGCCTGAGAGGCTTCTGTAAACTGGAGAGAGGATTGGTCTCCCTGGACCAGGGGGAAGGGGGAAGGATGGAAAGTCTCGGCTGTCCCCCAGAGGTGGGGGTTGGTCAGCGGTGGCCGAGAGGGGCTAGAAGCTCTCTGACCAGACCCGGCCCTGGAGCCAGGCCCCGGGCTTCTCCGATTTCCAATTTCCTCGTTCAAGGGAGCCGAACGCCCCTGCCCACCGGCCGCTCCCTCTCTCACTGGGCGGTTGCAAAATGAGATCGGGGATGTGAAACGAAGAAGGACCCCGGCTTGGCATGGGCGCAGGAAGCAGCCTTGCGGGGGTGGGCACAGAAATGAGGAATTTGGTGGCAGCAACATTCTCAGGAGGAGAATCCAGAACTGGCCCTCAGGCGATGGTGGGGTGAGTGGGCATGGTGCAATGAGCGCCCTGCGGGGGTGCCAGGGAGCGGGCAGGGGCTGCAGGGCCGCCCGCGGGGCCTGGGAGTGGTTGTGTGCACTGCTGGGCTATCAGCACCTGATCGTGGCTGACACAGAGCAGGGGATTGACTGTCAGATGAAGAAAGGATCAACGACGGTCGTCTCTACAGAGGGGAGACAGATGGGAACTGCTTTGGGGGTCAGAATGGGTGCTAGGTGGGGACAGACGGGAGAGCGTCAGCCCTGGCCACCTGCACCCCGCCCCCCCACTGGGGGCCCACCCTGGCTTCCCAGCCTTCTGACGCCCTCTTCCCTTCAAGGCTCCTGAGGGTGCCGGCCAGTGACCTCCTTCCAGGCCTGGCAAACACGCGGGGCCCTCCAGTCACGGCCCACAGGCCTGTGCCAGCCCCTCTACCTTCTTGTCTGCCTCACCTGGGCCTCAGTTTACCACGGTGAAGTAGCTGGCCGGCCGGTGAGGCCTTGCCTCCAGGGCCCCTCCATTCCGAAGTTGACAAGCCTGTGAGACACAGAGGACCAGCCCATGATCACTATCTTTCAGAGAAAGTGAAACCTGATCCCCAACCGTCACCGCGGCGACTCCCCCTCCCCGGTTTCCCCTCTGAGCTCATCGCTTCCCCATCTCCTCCACCCCCCACCCCACGACAGCCCCCCCACCCGCCAGTACTTGGAATTAGACTTTCATCTTTCCTTTTTCCTTCAAAGAACTTTTGCCTTTTATGTCCATGACGGCAGCAGCCCTGTGAGGTGGGCTGGGAAACGCTTTTCAAATCCTCATTTTACAGGTGGGGCCCCGAGGCCCAGAGAGGTGAATCAAGCTGCCTCAGGTCATGTAGTAGCGAGTCAGTGGGCTCGGTCCACCTGCTCCAGTGCCCGGCTCCCCCTGGGGGACCTGTCTGCGGGGAAAGGGCCGGCCGCTGCAGTGGGCCTGGGCTGGGACGGGGCCTGCTCGGGGGAAGGAGGCAGCCAGGAGCCCCGCTGGGGGTGTGGAGGTCCTGGGGCCAGAACCACAATCTCGGGGCTGCCAGCCTGGGTCTGGCTCTGTGCCCAGAGCCCGGTGGTTTCCGCTCACAGATGTCCCAACAGCCCCGGCAGGAGGGCGGGAAGGGTGCTCAAGAAGGAAGATGTCTTGCTCCCCTCGGCCCCAAACCACACTGGCCTGCGCCCCGTGAGGCCGACGGCTGCTGGGCCGAGACTGGCCCTCGGGCAGCCAAGGGGCCCGGCTGGCAGGCTTCCCCTCTGTCCCAGGCCCGGCACCTTGCGGATGGCGTGGACCCCCTTGCTCCTCGTTCGCCCCAGGAAGGCTGAGGCTGCAGTTTGCATCACCCTTGGGCGTGGGGCTGACCTCGAAGAACGAATTCGAAGAAAACGGGAGGAGGAGCAGGCATGCCACTGTGCCCAGCACCCATTGGCTCGTGGAAACTTTGGTTTTTGGGGTCATGTTCCCAGAAGGCCTGCCCTCCCCCCTCCCCCTCCCCACCCACCTCACGAGGTGTTGGCCAATCGCTCTGGCAGGCAATAAAGTGGCTGTCAGCCCGCAGGACTCCCAGCCTGGAGGTGTCATCCCCAGCAGGCACAGGCCAGAGCTTGGACACCCAGCATGTGGGCACAGCACACGAGGAGGGCGCTACTCAGTAAGTACTTCCTTCCTCCCCACCAGCACCTGCTTTCTCTGAACCATGGGTGCCGGCGGGAAGCAGGGGTACCTTCTGTCCTGGGGGAGCTGGGGAGACCAGGCACTGGCCAGGAGGATGCTGAAATGGAAAGAGAGCCAGGAGGTCAGGCAAAGAGAGGGCTCCACTGAGAACACAGCATCTTCACAGGGTGGAGAAGGGGTATCCCAGGAGGGCTTCCAGGGGGAGGCAACGTAAAGGCAACTCAAGGAGCCAGGGAGTAAGGGAAGGGCACGAATTAGGAGAGGGGCTGGGGCAGCAGGGGGAGGTGGGAGCTGGGCAGTGTAGAGGAGGAAGCTGCAGAAGCTGAGCAGAAAAATGGTGCAGTGTCTGGAGGGGCCTCCTTCTTGCCTTGATTTGCAGGGTCTGGGATGAACAGACCCAGTCAGCCAGGCCCAGGGGCTCTGGAGCCCACACAATCACACAGCACACATAGCCACACCCACAGGGTGACACACACACCGAGCCATGTGACATCATCCAGAGCCCTCAATCTCACCAACCTGGGAGCCCCCTCATGCAGCCCGGGATGGGCCACAGCTGCTCCCTTGAGCCTCACACAGACCTGGCGGATGCCCGCCAGACAGACACCCTGGTCCCACCTGCACAGTCGGCAGATCCCTGGGGAGGTGGTGAGAGGTGCGCCGTGGTCGCTGTGCCTGGGTGCCCAGCCCCTCCGCCCTCCCCAGCAGCGTCTTCCCCAAGGGGCCGGATGGTTCTTAGGAAGCGAGCATGGTGTCACTGCCTTCCGGGCCATTGCACCACAGGCCCCTTCCGACCACGTGGCTGCCGGTGGGTGGGGGGAGGCAGAGGAGCCGTAACTGAGCTCGGCCCCTCAGAGTGTTCTGCCAGGCCCTCAGCATCCCTGTGAGCCTGTCAGGAGTGGCCACTTATGGAGAGAGGAGGAGGCTCAAGGTTGGGGGAGTGGCTTGCCTTGCATAACTTGGGCAACCCTTCTTCAGCTCCGGTCCTGTGGCAGGGGGCCCTGTGGCAAGAGCTATCCCTAGCTGGAGGTCTTGCAGACAGCTGCCCACCTGGGCTGCCCCATGTCAGCTCCTGAGGTAGGTAGGCTTGACAGGCACAGGAGCTCCAACCAGGCCCCACGACCTGCTCCTAAAGGCCTACGTGGTGAATCGCTGTTTCAGGTGCTGGGCAGTAACTCACTGGATGGGTGTCAGTGGCCCCAGCAGGTGCTCCTGTGCACACAAAACACCCAGTCCCACCCCCCACAGCACGGAGGCTGGATGGCGGGCTGCACCCTCTGAGCACCCTCCCCCCAAAAGCTGACCTCCCAGGGCTTCCTTGCCAAGTCAGGTGACACCCCCTTTCTCTGCCCCAGGTCTGATCCTCAGACTCCTGTTTCTGAAGCCAGTGGCCACGGGCAGCTGCTCAGGCAATGGCCAAGAGCTCCTCGAGAAGCTCCAGCGTCAGGTGGACCTCATGCAAGACACCAGCCGGTTCCTGGACCACTATGTGAGCGCCCAGCCCCCGGGGCATCTGAGTCTCCGAGAACTTTGGGGTCAGGGCATGACTAAGCCCCAGAGAGGACTGGGCCCAACTCCCATTTGCTCAGCCCCAACTCAATACGGGGTGGGGGTGGAGAAACTGAGTCCCGATGTTATTCCAGGACCATGCCAAACATTCGAGGCCTAACCCTAGCTCCCCTAGCTCGGTGGCCCGGAGTGTGAACCCCGGTCACGTGACCCCATCCCTCTGTTTGTGCAGCGTGTTTAGTGCACCCCTATCGCAAGCCTTGCTCGGGGCTCCCGAGGTGCTGCAGTGAACAAAACAGTTTGCTCTCCTAAAGCTCACGGTCATCTTCCCACAGACACGCCCCACACCACAATTGCCACGTGTGTGGTCACCCCTGCAACCCTCTGACCCTGCCTGCAGTGACCAGGGTGTCCTCTCCCCTCTTGGGCCTTAGCATCTGGATCTGTACAATGGGCAGCTTAGACAGGGGCCGGACGCGATCAAGCATTTCAAGGCTGACCAGAGCAGGTGTGCCTGTGTGTGTATGGTGCGGGCTCCAGCACTAACCCCCCGATTCTCCCCCCCAGATCCGCATCCAAGGCCTTGACAAGTCTGGACTGAAAGAGCACTGCCAAGAGCGCCCCGGGGTCTTTCCTAGCGAGCAGGACCTGCAGGAGCTCAGCAGGAGGGACTTCCTGCGGACCCTCAACACCATACTTGGCCATGTCTTACCCAGACTGGTTACTTTCCAGAAGGACCACCCCAAAGTCGAGGACTTGGGGATGGTGACAAGGTATATCCGTGGGATCAGGGACAATATCCACTGCATGGACCAGCTGCTTCGAGGCTCCTCGGAGATGGCCAAACCCACTCGGGCCAGCCCGGGGACCTGGCCACCACACACGCCTGCCTCAGACGCCTTTCAGCGCAAGTTGGAGGGCTGCCGGTTCCTGCGCGGCTACCACCGCTTCATGCACTCCGTGGGCCAGGTCTTCCGCAAGTGGCGGGAGACCCCGAGCCGCAGGAGCCGGAGACACAGCCCCCAATGGGTTCTGCAGAGGGGGATTCACAGGATGCCACCCTCCATGAGGGGCAAGAGGCTCGTGCCCAGGGGGCAGCTGCCCCGGTAGCCTTAGGGACCCTGCAGCAGGTGAAGGATCAGCAGGTGCTCCTCAGGATGGTGCCACCTCAGGGTCTCCAGTCCTGCCTCCCACCTGTCAGAAGTGCACTTTAAGGGGTGAGAGCCAGGCGGGCTCCTCTACCCCCTCCCAGGTTGGGGGACAGGATCAGACCATCACGCCTCCCCAGCCGTGAGTTCCCCAGTCCCAGTGGGGTGACTGGGTCAGGCCACGCGGGGCCAACTTTCCATTGATTCAGGGGTCTGATGACACAGGCTGACTCACGGCCAGACTGACTGCCCCCCCTTCCCCCCGACTCTCCTCCCCGGAGGTCTGCCGGCCCTTCCTTCTCATGACTTGCAGAGCTGTTGCCCCCAGACTTCCTCCTTTCCATGGTGGCTTGCTTCCAAGGGGGAGGTCAGGGTCTGAGCTGGCCTCCTATGCCTCATCGCCAGCCTCAGACCAGACACCTGGACGTCTGGGTGACCTCACTTTAGGCAGCTATGACAGGGGCACAGTGTCATGTAAGAAGCACTGATCTGGGAGGTCCAAGGAAAGGGGCTCAGGTCCTGGCTTGGGCCCTAACTCACTGTGTGGCCTCAGGCAAGCCACTTAACCTCTCTGGACCTCAATTTTGCTTTTGTGAATCGAAGGGGTTGGGGGCCGTGCAAAGCCCTCTCTGCCTGTCAGCTGCTGGAACTCCATGACATAGGGTGGATTTCAAATTCTTTCCATAAATCGGGACATGTGGTGCAAATGGACAGGGGTGCAGACTGAGGTCTTTGCAGGAGACTTTCCAGTGTCTAGCCTGGTCTTGGGTTCTGGCTGCTGAGTGCTCCCCCTGGTGGTGGATCTTGGAATTTTCTCATGCTGAAACCATTGTCCATCTGAAGGGTTATGGGTCAATTCCTTGCAGGGACAGAATTAATTTATCAATTTTTATCAGTTTTTATCTGTTTTTTTTTAATTTATGAGGCTTATTTATGATGTATATTTAATGTTAATATTGTGCCAACATATATTTAAAACTTGCCTGGTTTCTAAAGCCCTTGTGTCTCTCTGTTGCTTTGTGGGGAAGGATTTGGGGTAGGCTGGCCTCTTGGAGAGGGGGTGGTCCCTAGGTGGCCAGGCCACAAGCGGCTACCATCTGAGCAGCTCCATCCCTCTGTCTGAGTCCCCGAGCGCTGGAGCTCCTTGCCTGTCCAGGGAGGGAAGTCTCATGCGCCACTCTGACTGTGGGGGCGTCTCAAACACAGACAAAGAGTTTGTTGTGTCTGAACAGGTTGCCCTTGAGACGATGCAGACCAGGGGCGCCCGGGGTTTGGGAGCACGAGGTGGGGGGGATGCAGGCTGGGGTGTCTGGCTTGCTCTGGCCCCTGTGGGTGTGTGGCTGGGGGCAGTGTGCTGATGTGTGTCACATGAAGCGAACAAGATAATAACAGATCCTGCCTCAGATGTGGCCTGTGACCTTGTTGTGTGCTTAAAGCGGCTTCCTGAAGAGCTGTAGGGGGGTGGGGATTCCATCTGGCCCCCCAGAAAACTGGGCTGCCTCCCAATGGCACCACCTCAGGAGGGGTACCTGTAGGCTGATGGATGATATGCTAAGGCAGATGCTACCAAGGAAGGGTTAATTTTTTTTTAAGATTTTTATTTATTTATTTTCAGAGAGGGAAGGGAGGGAGACAGAGAGAGAGAGAAACATCTATGTGCGGTTGCTGGGGGTCATGGCCTGCAACCCAGGCATGTACCCCTACTGGGAATCGAACCTGTGACACTTTGGTTCACGGCCTGCGCTCAATCCACTGAGCTATGCCAGCCAGGGCAGGAAGGGTTAATTTAATGGGAGCCCATGAACTTGACCTGGATCAGTCCCCGCCTAGTCCTACTTCCTGGGATTGGGGCCAAAGGTGGAAACAGGATTTGATAACAAAAGTGGAGGAGATCCCCATGTGGGACTCTCTCCCTCTCTCCAACAGATACGATCCACTTGCCAGATGAGAAGACTGAGGCTCAGAGAGTTGGAGTCACCTGCCCATGTCCTGGGGGCAGTTTGCTGCAGGCGAGCACATTTTGAATTCAGGTCTGTTAGGTGCCGGGGTGGGAGCGTCTTCCTGTTACCTGTCAGCCTCTGTAGCTCTGCTGACAGTTTCACGAGTCCCTGAGGGCACAGAGCTGCCAGGTGAGGGGCTGGCAGACAACAGACAAGCGAAAGTGCTAACAGGTGCATCCGAGGCGGCGGTGCCAGCTCGGCAAAAACAAAGCAGCGTGATGTAATAGAGAGTGTGAGAGCCAAGTGATGTGGGTGGTCAGCGTGGCATCCGAAAGAGGTGACATCCACTCTGCAGTCTAAAGGATACAGGTGCCTCCAGGTGGCACGGTTGGGGCAAAGGTTCTGAGCAGTCGAGGATCGGAGTTATCAGAAAGGCCCAGAGGGAATTATCTCGCTCCAGGTCACAGTTTCCCAGGTCACAGGGCAGGGCCTGGGCTACACAGCCCCCCACTCCAAACCAGCCGTCCTGCTGCGCAGCGAGCAGCGGCCCAAAGTGGTCCAGGCTATTTACTAAGGACCTGGTAAGCGTTCTCCACTGCCCCCCACTGGGCTCTCCCTTTTACTCGTGTTCCTTCCACGCTGGCCACCGTTGGGCGGGCTCTGTCCTCCTACGCTGCCTCTGCTTATGCCGTTCCCTCTGTCTGGAATGCTGTTCTCACGGTCTGGGCCCAGCAACTTGGTGATTTGTCCTCTCAAAACCGCCCCATCAGCAGGAGGGCATTTGCATTACCGTTCACTTCCCTCACTGGCCTGGGGCTGCAGAGCAGGAGACCACGCCTGCTGCTCTCTGCTGTGTCCAGCACCCAGCACGGCGCCTGCACTCAGCAGGGGCTCGGCGGAGAGCAAGGCAGAAGAGGACGTCAAAGCGCTGCGGAGCGTGCTGGGCAGTCTGGCTCAGAGAGGTGCTACCCAGGTGCTATCGACAGCAGATGGCCTCTTTTCTGCCCTGGCCCCGCAAAGGCTTGGGGGCTTCCCTCGGGCTGGGCTGCTGGGGAGCTGTGGGTGGGAGGTGGCAACTGGAAGCCAGGCACACTCAGGCTCTTGCAGCGGAAGGCGGGCTGGCGCTGTGGCAGGAGTGCTGCTGCCCACGGAGAGGGCATGCTGGTCTACGGAGGAAGAACTGGGAAGCCCAGGCTGGCCGTCCCCCACCTCTGGCTGGGCCCCTCCCAGCCCCCTGCTCTGAGGGTGAGCCGCAGGAGAGGGGTCTGGGGCTGGCTTAGAGCTGGAGCGGCACCCACCCCACAGAAAGCAGATCGAGGATCTCCAGGCTCTGGGGCTGGGGTCTCAGGGGTCTCACCGGTGAGGGTTCGTCACCGCCACACTGTCTCCCGATGAGACTACGGTGGCAGGTGTCCCCAGACTGCTGTTTCCAGCCTGGTTCTCGCCAAACCCAGATCCATAGACTCAGCTGCCAGGAACACCCATGGGCACCTCCAGGCCAAGCTCACACCCAGCCTCACACCTTTCCGCTTCCCGGATGCCCTCACTGAAGTTCCAGAACCCCAGCCCACTCCCTTCTCTTCCCGCGGCCCCTCCTCTCCTCTCCTCCCGCTGATCACAGAGCCCTACGCCCTGTCTCTGGCACATGACCTCTCTTCTCCCTATGGCCAGCCGGGTCCCAGCTCCCTGGACACGGTCTAAAATCTCACCCGCATGTCTCCTGTTCACGAACCTTCGATGACTCCCTCCTGTCCAACTGCCCGTGGCATCAATCCCCAAGTCCTCATCACCACACGCCAGGCCAACACCGCCGGCCCATCTCACACACTCAGCCGGCATCCTGACCGCCCCACTGCCTGCATTTCCCCCCCACCCCCCGAGGGTCTGCGCACATGTCCCCTCCTTCTTGACTGCCCGGATCCAGAGGGGGCTTGTGGGGCTTCCCTGGGCGGAGGGCAGCTTGCAGGGCGTCAGGTCCGGAGCCAGAACGACCCCTCTCTGATCGCCCTCGACCCACACAAACAGTACCCGCTGCTGTGAGACAGCAGTTCCCATGGGCCGCCTGCTGTGACGGGCAGCTGGGCAGGGTTCTAACAGTAGCTTTCGTGCCACGGAGTGTGTCGACCCCCGACGAGACACGTTTCCCTCGGAGTGGAGTTCTGCCACAGCAACGCTCTCCACCACGGCTCGCGAGAAGGGAAAGAGTGGCCCTGGGCCACGGGGGCGCCCACGCAGGCTGGGGAGACAGAGGAGTCCTCATGCGAACCTGCTGCTGAAGTCGACTCCACACCAGGTTTTCTGTTTCAAGCTTTCAGGGTGACAGTCATAGCCCCTTAGTCAATGCTGCCTCATGGGAAGTCCCCGGGACGGAGGGCCTGGAGGCCGGGAAACTGCAGGGGAAAGGCGGGAACGGGGTCCTGGCACGTACTGCCCACCTGCAAGTCAAGATCACGGCCCGCGAATGGCGGAGCCAGGTCTTTGGCCTCCATTCCCTGGTTGCCTTCGCTGCCACCAGTTCTAAGGTGATTTTCCCCCCTCTCCTCGTGGGATGAGAAAGTGCTTGAGTGTTAAACTGAAAGAGTTGAAACCCCAGCCCCCCTGCCCTTATGCCGTGTAACCTCCCAGACTGGGCCTCAGCTTCCCCCTCTGTACAAGGGCCTGACTCGGCCCCCTCCCGGGCTGGAGGCCGCGCCCACACGGCCCTGCAGCTGGACTGTCACAAGCTGCCACTGAGAAGGTGCATGAGCAACGTTCTCTGTTTTCTCTCTCTCCTTTTCTCTTTTCTTTGGTTTTCTTTTTTTCCAGCTCTTTGTCCCTGCTCCTGCAACCCCCCCGCCCCCACACCAGGCCCGGAACCAGAATTGTCCACAGAACCCCTTTCCCACGCTGAGGGAAGGGTCACAGTCCACAGTCAGAGTGGGGAGGCCCTTGGCAAGGCCAGCCCCACTCCCTGCTTCCTGGGGCGTCCCGAGGGCTGGGCTCGGGGAGGGGCGAAGGTCTCCCAGGGAGGGGGTTGGGCAGGTGGGGCCCTGCACTGTGGCGGAGGGCAGACCGGATGGGTCAGGTGGCTCCAGGGTTCTGAGGTGGGTGCCAGGGAAGG